TGTATATACAGACAGCTTAGAATCCGCCTGTAATCTTCTTTTGCCCATATTACTATATCGCTCTTGAACTATAGCACTTATTTCTATTAATCCCTTGTATTTAATTTATCTCAATTAAACTCTCAAAAAAAAACTTTCGCTCTAAAAAACTTTCATTCAAAAATTTTAAATTTGGTTAAAATCCATCCAAATCAGTCAAATTGTGTAATTACCTAGGTAGCTTATGCTACTCATGTGATTAATTAAAAAGGTATACTCAAAAATTTTAAATTTGATTAAATACTCAATCCATCCAAATCAGTCAAATTGTGTAATTACCTGGTGGCTTATGCCACTCATGGATTAATTAAAAAAGTATTTTTAAAATTTTTACTACTTGCCTAAAGATCTCTTAACACCCCTCAGGGAGTGTGGGAAGAGATTGAATATGAGAGTTACTAAAGGTTAGGTTCAACCACTGGACCACTCCTAAGGATTGTGTGTTTTGTTGGACAAAATTAAAAATTTTAAATAAAAAAATAGTTTAGAAGTTTAATTGAAAAACATTGAAATTAATAATATTCTCAGTTGGATATGATTATTACAAAGTAATATGTGATTAAGAAAATTTAAATTTACTCGATGATTAAGAAAAAGACAATGCATAAACTTAAAATTATGTTTTCAAATTTTGGTAGTTGCATAAAATTTGAATTTAACATATACAAGTGATTACTTACATAAAAAAATTATTTTAGGAAAAATAACAAATAAGCTTTATTTTATACGATTAGGTCTTGTAAATCTTTATTAGTATCACTAAGTCCTGTTTTTTTTCATAAATAATTCCAAATAAGTATATGACCTATTTGCAGTTTTATTTTACCCCTTGTAACAATAAAAATAATTAATCGATCATGGGCTTGAAGAGTTGTAACTTCTCCATTACGAGTTAGAAGTTGACATTTAAAAATTGTAACTTAACCTTTGAAATTATTACTTTTGGTGTCGATCGCAATGCCTTAGGATCAATTATACCCTTCATAAGTTGTAATGTACACCCCAAAAAATTATAATTTAACATTAAAGAGTTATAACTTTCGATTAGATACCATGTCCTGTCCCTTTTTGGTAAATCCCCCAACCACCTAAAGTGATTTCATGTCATTATTGATATATAACAATTAATTATATATAATACATATTATAGACACTTAATTTGGCACTTAATCACAGACTTATTTTATTGTGGTTATTAATTTTTTTTTTTATGGTTATTAAATTAATTGTGAGTTTCAAAGTTTAATAGAATCCCTTTTTAATGAAATAGGTGCAATTAATTAGATACTAGATTAAATGTCGAAATTAGGTCAAAATAATATTTTTCTTATTTACTAATCCTAGTAAATCTATTTAATCTAATAAAAGATGTTATTTAGATCTAATTTAATATAGTCGTTGAATTTGTCATAAGTTTTATATTAAATTAGACCCCCAAATTAAGTTCAAATAGCATTCTTCAATTAATAATTAAAAGCAATGCTATTGATACCTCATCTAATTTATTTACCCAATTCGATATTTCAACGAGAGGTAACGAAGACTATGCTAACACGTGGCTTAAAGAAGCTACTTATATGGAGGGCTTCTTGTTTCGTTTCTTCAGTGGGTCCCAGAATTGCAACTTGGAGGCCTCGAGTTGTTCCAATTTGGACCACTTTGCCTGGTTTACCCATTGATTTGTTCAACAGAGATAGTCTGAGGGACATTATGGGTCCAGTAGGATGTATTTTGGTGATCGATAATCCAACCTTTCGACTGTCTAGGGCAGGTNTGTTAGCATTGGTTGCAATCAAGGGCTGGTTTCTACATCAATTCGATGTAAACAATGCATTTTTGCATGGGGAACTAGAAGAAGAAGTATATATGCAGCCACCCCTTGGGTATTCTGTTAAAGGAGAAAACAAGGTTTGCAAGTCCAAGAAAAGTTTGTATGGACTTCAGCAAGCATCCAAACAATGGTATGCTAAGTTTTCATCAACCTTACTCAGTTATGGGTTTACTCAATCTCATTCAGATTACAGTTTGTTTGTCAATAAGACAGACACTTCTTTCATGGCATTATTAGTTTATGTGGATGATATTATAGTTTCTTCCAATGATAATCATGTCATCTCACAGTTGAAAGAGTTTCTGAGTGCTCAATTCAATATTAAAGACTTGGATCTCCCAAATATTTTCTTGGCTTAGAAGTACCAAGAAATTCTCATGGAATATAGGTCTGTCAACGGAAGTATGCACCGGACATCCTTGCAGATTCTGGTTTAATTGGGTGCAAGCTTGCTAAGGTGCCCATGGAACATAACAACAAGTTCTCCAAGGATGATGGAGAACTTCTGAGTAACCCATCTTTGTATAGAAGATCCATTGGAAGGCTACTCTACTTAATGATGTGAACAAGATATTTAAATACATCAAGAGATCTCCAGCTCAAGGCATTTTCTTCCCTTCCATTACGTCCCTGCAGGTAACAGNTGAACAGGATACTTAAATACATCAAGAGATCTCCAGCTCAGGGCCTTTTCTTCCCGTTCACTACATCCCTACAGGTAACAGCTTACTATGATTCTGACTGGGCTTCAAGTCCAGATACCAGGAGATCTACAACTGGCTATTGTGTCTTCATTGGTCAGTCACTTGTCTCATGGAAATCCAAGAAGCAAACTACGGTCTCAAGAAGTTCAGCTGAAGCAGAGTATAGATCAATGGCTGCAGCTTGCTGTGAACTCACTTGGATTAGACATTTGCTCAATGACCTTTCTATACCTCATGAAACACCAGCCATTCTTTATTGCGACAATCAGTCAGCACTTCACATTGCAGCAAATCCTGTATTCCATGAGAGAACAAAGCACATTGAGTTAGATTGTCATCTAATTCGAGAGAAGATACAAGAAAAAATGATCTCCACCGCCTATATGCCTTCACATTCTCAGATTGCAGACATCATGACAAAAGCCTTGACATCTTCAACTTTTCACTCTTTGCTTCTCAAGATGGGAGTATGCAATATATACTCTCCATCTTGTGGGGGGTGTTAAAATCTGCAGAGAATGAAAATAGTTCAGCTGCAGCCTCCAGCTCAGCTGCTTCCACTGATTATTCCTTCTCCAGCTTAGCCTGACCACATAGAGCACACTGGAAGGATCCTGCAGAGCTCACTAGAAGAATCTGGAAGCATGTGGAGCTGGCAGTTAGTTAGGAAAGCTTCTCTTATGTGTAAAGCATTTATATGAATTAGTTTGATATGCTCATTTGTAATTAGTATATATAGGTGTGTATGTACAGCAAAATTAATGTAATGAAAAGGATTCTCTTCCTCATCTCTTCTCTTTTTCAATTCTATGCATTTNTTATGAATTAGTTTGAGATGCTCATTTGTAATTAGTATATATAGGTGTGTATGTACAGCAAAATTAATGCAATGAAAAGGATTCTCTTCCTCATCTCTTCTCTTTTTCAATTCTATGCATTTTTGCTCTTAAGATTTTCAATAACCCCAGCACAGCATTGCGCCGTTGGAGTACCACCTTGAATCAAGTACTTAATGCACTGGGAGAGAGAAGCCTCCACTTGGCCACAAGTAACGGTCGCCTCGCTTGGGGTCGCCATGAACTGAGCCACGGCTAGCNTCTATGCATTTTTGCTCTTAAGATTTTCAATAACCCCAGCACAGCATTGCGCCGTTGGAGTACCACCTTGAATCAAGTGCTTAATGCACTGGGAGAGAGAAGCCTCCACTTGGCCACAAGTAACGGTCGCCTCGCTTGGGGTCGCCATGAACTGAGCCACGGCTAGCACCACCAGCAAAGTTATGGCTACTACTCCCTTCATGTTTCCTAATCTTGGTAGAAAATATTGCTTGTTTGCTTCTTGATTCTTCTTTTTTTGGTGGATGTAGTGGAGAGGGGAGGGAAGAGGGCATAAATAGATGATTTGAAGGTGTTAAGATAAGGAAGGTTGGCCATGACACCAGAAGTTGTTGCAGAACTTTGGCCCACTGATTGGTTTTGGAATGGCATTTTGTTACCCTACTAAGGAAAGAGGGTGGATATGTGAATCATCGGTTCTACTTGAAGTTTGAGTCTTCCCTGTCATCTCTAACCAATCCTATCCCCTTTAGAAGCAGGAAGGATTGATCTTGAGAAGATGGCAGTGGAGATTGTCACAGCAACAATATCCCCGGTCTAACCTCTACAACTTTTGAGCCAACGTAATAAAATTATGTCAAAACTTAGAAGTATTCAAGTGTATAACCGATCCCAAATAATTGACATAAAATTATGATTAATGCATGTTATCATTTAATCAAGCCATGAAGATTGGTTAGCAATCGGACATGTTTTTAAACTTTTAGGGCTGTCTCTTTGTTAGATCCTAATCAGCTTATTTTATTTATTTTTTTTTAAAAATTTCCTTCAAATTTGTCTTATTTTTAATTTTTTTAAGAAAATATTATTTCTAACTAATTTGAAGTCTAATTATTATCCCTGTTGAATTAAAAATAAATTTTATTTAACATTAAAACTCACCTCTAATCTAATGATCACAGGGACTTAAATCCTGATCAAATTCTCAAATTAGGTATTTTGCAATGGTTCATTTTCAATGAATTTTATCATGCCACGCCGTTTGATCGGAAATTCGGAACGCAGACCTACTTGATGGGTTATTCTGCATACCTTAATCTGGTTCAAAATTCACATCTGACAACCGTACTTATTGGGCCAAGTAGTTGAATTAATGGGCCAATATATGGACTACGGGCCACTCTTTGAGCCTTAAGTAAACGACCCAAAAAAAGGAGAAAAATTTCGAGTCCAAAGATCTCTTAACGGAAGAGAGAGAGAGAAGCCAAGTCCAAACTCTATCTACTCTTGCCACACTGTCCTTGTGTGTGCTACTCTGTGCAGCAAACCGTTTGGAAAACCCCATAAGCGCGCTTCGTAGAGATTTCTTCAATGCCATCAGTAGTAGTAGCTTGCAATTCTTCTCTTCCGCCTCTCCACTCTCATCGAATCAGTGTCTCTCCCACTCCTAGACGGTTCTTGGGCCGCCGCGAGCTCTGCTTCGACAGCATTTCCTCTGTCTGCTCCGATGACTCCTCCTCCTCCGACGTTGCCTCCTCTCGTCCTACTTCCACTCAAAGGTATACATAACCTCACCTGAACCCCTTGCATGATTTATTGATTTTCGTTTCTTGAATTTTCATTTCTGCTACTTATCTCTACTGCTTTTGTAGGACTGGTTGTGAAGATAGGAAGGGTTTGGGCGAAGTAATACAGAAATTCCTTCCTCACACATCGCGTCGGGTGTTATTTGCAAATATATTCATTTACTCGTGCTATCATCCTTCAAGGTACTTATCAGGTTCGCACAACTCAGTCATTGTTTCTTAATTCCAATTCGAATTTCAAGTTTCGTAACCGAACTATGCTTCTATTTGATTTGATTTTGTATTCTGAAGTTTATTTTCATACACAGCTTATGCTTTAGGAGATCCATCTGTGACTGTTGAGGAAGTAACACCCCCTGTCTTTCCTTCTGGGAAACTTTTTCCTTCTGAGGTTGATTTTCGGCTGTGTTGATCGATTGTGCCTATTTTCGTTTTTGAATGATCATTTGTAAATTCAGCACTCATCTATGCCGGATTTTTATGGCGGTTGAACTGATATCTGTCTACTTAGCAGGAAAGAATTGTCCAACTCTTTGAACAGAATACTTATTCTGTTGTCAACATATTTGATGTAACTTTGCGTCCTCAACTCAATGTCACGGGTTTCGTTGAGGTAATTCTGCTTTATGTTGTTGAATATTAATTTTCTTTTCCTTTTTTTTTTTTGCAATTTTCTGTTTCTATATAACAGGATAAATTAACATGTAATGGTCACAAGTTCGTGAATTACTTTGGCTATTTTATGCATGGCATGGTTTGATTATATTACCATCTTCTTACGAGTGTAACCTAATGATATGGTAGTGATGAATGTTAGGTTCCTGAAGGAAATGGCTCTGGAGTTGTCTGGGATGGACTAGGGCACATTGTGACAAATTACCATGGTAAGAGCTCAGGTGGATATGTAGGTAAAAGATAATTAGTTATTCCAGTGTGATGGATGAATGCATTCATTTCAATTGTAGTCTGTCCCGTCCTGACTGATATTATGTATCTCCGGATAGTTGTTTGACTATTCCAGTGGCACCACTACTTCTATTAGTTGTCTACATGAGTTTCAATTATTGTCAACTTGACTTTTTGGAAGAAGTTTTGTCATGTGAGATATATGATGCCCCACTCGTTTTCCTTCAATGCTATCACAAGTGTCTGAATCTCAGTATTATTATTCTTCGGCTTCTTGATATCATATCAGTTCATTGATCAGCATGTTTTTAATTCAATTGATTGTCAAATGGTTGGGTTGTTGACCTCGATATGCAATTCTTAATTGAAATGTTGATAATGAGAAGTTATTTTGTGAATCTGATTTAAGACTGGGTAATCATTTTTGGATTTTGCCTGTTGGGCAGTGAGTTTTTGAAGTGACCTTTTCGTTTCTCTGATTGCCCAGTAATTGGTAATTCCCTTTCAAGAAATCCAAGCCGTGGGCAAGTTGTTGCACGAGTTAATATCCTTGCTTCGGATGGGTGAGATTCTCATTGTCCTTAGCCTTTGTTGATAAGTTTCTCTGCCTGTGGATGGTCAAGTTTAGGTTATGAATATGATGGGCTTCTTATATGTACTGTCATTTCACGTGGTTCCTTACTGTGAATAGTTTTTTCAAAGGGTGCAAAAGAATTTTGAAGGTCAGCTCGTTGGTGCAGACCGCGCTAAGGATCTTGCTGTTTTGAAGGTAGGCTTTCATTTTGTTTAGTTATCTTTGGATGATGTCCACTTGAGTAATGCATGCAATTCTGTTCCAACAATCTGATCAACAAAATGTATTTGAAACTGCTACCTATACCACTTTTCTGATGCTTACATGAATACTTTTCTGCCATTCATTGTAACTGTAGATGCCTGAATTAACATAAAGATATAAACGCCAGTGACTTGTAAAATGCTTCAGCTACTATATTGTGATGAGCCATCATAGCCCTTTTTTTGGGTAATTGTCATATTTGAAAGACGGGAGCAAACTTAAAGTTCAAACCCACTGGAGTAAATTGTATGCATTTTGGCCTTAGAATATATGTTCTTTATGTCGTCGTTCACATCTAATCCCATGCTAATTAGATTTGAGGCCATAAACCTTACNGAGTAAGTTGTATGCATTTTGGCCTTAGAATATATGTTCTTTATGTCGTTGTTCACATCTAATCCCATGCTAATTAGATTGGAGGCCATAAACCTTACCTGAGACCTGAAACAAGGACCTTGCTGAATAGGCATGTATTGAACTGATTTGCTTTCTACTTCCCCTATTGGACAAACCGAAAGAAAATCTGACTTTATCTCTAAAGTTTGCTTGATTAGTTTGTCAACTTGTGGCATCACGGCTAGTCAGTTACAAATGCAATATTTGATTTGAATTAATTATGGACGTTATTAGTCAGTAAAATTTGTTTGGTGAGCATATTCTTGCAGTTGGTTTATAGTGTATGATTACTGAGGTCTTTAACTTGATAGATCTTTCAACACGCCAGGTGGAAGCCTCTGAAGATCTATTGAGGCCAATAAAGGTGGGGCAGTCATCATCTTTAAAAGTTGGCCAACAGTGTTTAGCCATTGGAAATCCATTTGGCTTTGATCACACACTCACTGTCGGGGTTATTAGTGGACTAAATCGAGACATATTTAGTCAAACTGGAGTCACAATTGGTGGAGGAGTTCAAACAGATGCAGCCATCAATCCTGGAAACAGGTCTTTTGTAACTTCTCATTCTGATGCGAAAGAATTTACTAGCCGTTATTTCTCCTCCTTCCCCCCTCCTGCCCTGCCCCTGCCCCCAAAAGAATTGAAAATAAAAGATCCAACCATTAAATGTAACTGGACTCAATCTATTTTCAATACCTTTTCCAGATATCTTTCACATTTCATCAGTAATAGATTGTGTAAATTGTGCCTCACAACATTTATACTGTCCCCTGTGATTGTGGCAGTGGAGGTCCTCTGTTGGATTCTCGTGGGAATTTAATTGGGGTTAACACTGCAATATATACTCAGACAGGTAAATTCTTTCTTTACATACAATTACATATGCTTCCAAATTTCAAGAGAACAATGAAAGTTGTACAATTACATATGCTTCCAAATTTCAAGAGAAAAATGTGATTGAATTTCTAGTTCATGCTTGTAGACTCCATTATATTTATTTGCTTAATCTCTAACTCCATATTTCTTCTGGGTGTTTTCAAAATGAATCATTTCTCCATCCATTGACAATTTTTTATTTTTTTATTTTTGGCAGGGACTTCAGCAGGTGTAGGGTTTGCCATTCCATCCTTAACCGTGGTAAAGATAGTGCCTCAGCTGATCCAATTTGGAAAAGTATGTTGTGCTATTTCTTTACACAGTTGGGATTTTTGCTTGCTTCTAGTGCAGAAACCTTTCTTTTACATTCTCTGGGTTTTATGCATATATATTTGTAATTCTAATTCTCTGCTGATCTCACCCTTGAAATCTTCTTTGTTCATTACAGAACTTTGGCTTTAGGAGTTACTATTGAAATTCAGAAAATGGGCATTTGAACTTTTTTTTGGCAAAAAAATAGAAAAGAAAACTGGTTTCCAACATGCTTCTTTATAATCCTTGTGTCCTTTGTATTTTAGGTTGTGCGAGCTGGTTTAAATGTTGATATTGCTCCAGACCTGATTGCAAATCAACTTAATGTACGAAATGGAGCTCTGATTCTGCAGGTATGCCTCGATAATAGAACATATTGTGTTATAATTTCTTTTATGTATTTTACTCTAATTCAAGTTTGAATTTCTTCTATTGCTGCAAGACCATTTTTTGCTTGGCCTAATCAGGATGTGCTGTAGGTTCCTCTGAATAGTCTGGCAGCCAAAGCTGGTCTTCTTCCCACTACGAGGGGCTTTGCTGGTAATATTGTACTAGGGGATATCGTCGTGGCAGTGGACAACAAACCTGTGAGCTTTCTTTTACTCCAATTGTGCTTCTACTAATTGTATATGTTTTCCTTATCATTAAGCTACAAAAGCCGTCTCATTGCTATGCTGTCCTTCCTCACCTCAGGAATTGAACACGACCTCTTTAACTTGGTTTGTCTTTTTTGTATTCCGTCTAAAGCTCCGGACCAAAATCCATAGGGTTTCTCATTCTGCTTCTATGTTATCCATTTTTTTAATGGCAGTTTCTGCACGTGTTGATGACTTTCTGTGCATGTATATGGTATTTGGCGATTGTTCTTGGTGAAAAAGTTGCTTTCATGCATNATATTGATGAATTTCTGTGCATGTATATGGTATTTGGCGATTGTTCTTGGTGAAAAAGTTGCTTTCATGCATAAATAATACATTGAGGGGGGAAAAACTCGATTTATGAAAACATCAGCCTGAGTTGGCCCACCCAAAGATATTGTGATTTTTGCGTGCTTATAATTAGCTTTTAAGTTAGTTTTTCTCCTTCTTGTAGCGGTTGAGATTGCTATTTACGTCTTGATGCAATATCTAATGTTTGGGTGGACCGTTGGACATATACCATGGGCTTTGGAAGCCTAAAGCAGGAGATGGGCCCCACAAAGGTCTTTTTGGTCTAAAGGAAAGTGTCTGTGGTAGTTTATAGAGTCTTTATATGATTTAGTTTAATTTATGCTCCGTTTGGTAGAAATGATAAAAAATATGAGGGATACACTTTCTATCCTTTAAGAAAGAAAAGTAGGAATGATACATTTTTTTTCATTTATATTTGATCGGATGGATAGAAAATAAAAATAATTAATTTTTTTTGTGCTTAGTAAGAGGGAAAAAATGTTTTTATCTTTATTTTTATTTTATTTTGGATTTTGGATTTTGAATTTTTAAAAAATTTTATTTTTAATTTATACACACACACATATTTTATCATTTTATTTGTATATAAAATTAATGTATACATAATATCTATATAATAAGATAACTAGCATTTTGAATTTTATCCCTATATATTTTTTCCGTTTATTTCTCTGACATCACCTATTTGTATCACACGTTGAATCATTTAATTTAGACATTGCTAATATACAATAGTATACATATGTTTATATTTTTTTTTTGAGGTCATGTGATTTGAGAAAATTTTGGGAAATTTTTTTTTCAAAAAATAAATTGTAGTATTAATTTTAAATTATATAATTAAATAAAACGAAGGAAAAAAAATTAATATTTGATATAATAGGGTCAATTTTTAGGCGCTTAAATTTTATGTTACATCGTGCGTTCAGGCACAGATTGTGGCTAGTATGTATATATATCAAATATTATATAGATAAATAAAATATATTTTAACACAAATAATTAGTTTTTCATCTATTTTCTTCCTTATTTAACCCTCCAATTTGTTATCCTTCCATTCTTTCATTTCCATTCTTTCATCATACGAAACAAAGCTTTAGTATGTTACTGGTCAGATTTTTTGATGTTTTGTTTATTTTTTGGTGTGAAGGGTATTTGATCATTTCAATAAAAGGAATATTGTTAGAATTTTATTTGGAGTCTTAGGTGGTTTACAATATTCCTAGTCAAATATTTTTAGTTTCTATATTTAGGAGTAAGAGTGTCTTTTACGTATAAATATTTTTTATAATCCCATTAATTCAAAGACTTCATGGGAATTTTTGTTATGATTGTGCGATGTTTCCTCACCCTTTTGAGCATTCTTCCTATTAGCTTCTGTCTCTTTCTTCCAAGAATCTGCACTTACAAGCATTCCTCCAAGGATATAGATATATTACAAAATCCAAGCATTCTCTTCCCACGTGTTACTGTTCATAACATAGGAACAGCTCCCTGAACAACCAACCCAAATAACCTTTACTTTTAATTACCAGGCCTTCACCATCCCCAACCTCTTTCATTTGTTTTGGCCCTCGAATCAGCATTTATAAACCTAGAAAGCTTGCTGTATAGATTTCATAATACCTTACTCCCGCTGCTCAGCATCCATTTCACACATGACATGTTGAGAATTATTGTCAAAACACCATAGCCACTTCAAATATCTGAAATTCTATAACTGGAATACTTTCATTAAAGTTTACCACTCAATGCTAATAAAATCAAAGTGAATGATTTCTTTGTGCTAGAGTGGGGGTTTATGTGTTTGAAGGACAATAAGGGCCAGTTGTAGGAATAAAAATGTTCTTCAAAGGAAGAATTTTGCTCATATATCAAGTCATCTGCAGTGAACCTTCCATCCTAGGATATTGTTTCATGAAGGAACCATCTCACCAAAACATATTGCCTGGTGGAGCCCTACGCGGGGTGCAGAGAGCAGTTTCCTGGATCTCCTATTAGGCATTAGAACATTTGTTTAATAAAAGATATTGGCAAGAAAAGGATATACCTATATGTGAACCAAACTACCTCAAATGCTAATAGGCCCAAAAGCGTTGGATAGGCAAATCCACATATTCCCTTAATAGGATAAAATTGATTGTCTAGACATACACAGGTTTTCCCTTGATAGGATAATACTGATTCTATTTGTAAAAGCGATGTAAACAGAAGTCGTGAAAAGTTTAATCTCTGCATGTAACGAAGTTCTTTGATTTTTTTTCCATCACAAAGTAAATTTTACACCACCATGCAAACTTGATTTTAACGTTCCTCTGAAGATGCTTCCTGGGTTTAGCTAGTAAAGCTCTGTGAAGGTTGTACTGCATAGCAGGGTTCAACTCTCCATCTTACATCAAACACATTCTAAACCTATATCTGTGTTTGCATTTTTAGTTTTGAGGCCAAAAAGTCCTTTTAACATCTCTACAAACTGTGCCAACTCTACTAGGCGTATATGAACTCTTTTGTTCTTACTTTTTTCATTGGGGTTTCACGTTCATATTCGGATGACCAATGATTTGGACTTTGGTTGGGTTAGTCAGCTCAAAGCTTCTATTCTCATCGCCGATTTAAAAACTGAGCACAATAACCATATGTTCTTCAACATTAAAAGAAGGCATATATGTTAAATTTTAGCAAAATTCCTTTCTTTTGTTTCTTATGCNGAAAGCTTGCTGTATAGATTTCATAATACCTTACTCCCGCTGCTCAGCATCCATTTCACACATGACATGTTGAGAATTATTGTCAAAACACCATAGCCACTTCAAATATCTGAAATTCTATAACTGGAATACTTTCATTAAAGTTTACCACTCAATGCTAATAAAATCAAAGTGAATGATTTCTTTGTGCTAGAGTGGGGGTTTATGTGTTTGAAGGACAATAAGGGCCAGTTGTAGGAATAAAAATGTTCTTCAAAGGAAGAATTTTGCTCATATATCAAGTCATCTGCAGTGAACCTTCCATCCTAGGATATTGTTTCATGAAGGAACCATCTCACCAAAACATATTGCCTGGTGGAGCCCTACGCGGGGTGCAGAGAGCAGTTTCCTGGATCTCCTATTAGGCATTAGAACATTTGTTTAATAAAAGATATTGGCAAGAAAAGGATATACCTATATGTGAACCAAACTACCTCAAATGCTAATAGGCCCAAAAGCGTTGGATAGGCAAATCCACATATTCCCTTAATAGGATAAAATTGATTGTCTAGACATACACAGGTTTTCCCTTGATAGGATAATACTGATTCTATTTGTAAAAGCGATGTAAACAGAAGTCATGAAAAGTTTAATCTCTGCATGTAACGAAGTTATTTGATTTTTTTTCCATCACAAAGTAAATTTTACACCACCATGCAAACTTGATTTTAACGTTCCTCTGAAGATGCTTCCTGGGTTTAGCTAGTAAAGCTCTGTGAAGGTTGTACTGCATAGCAGGGTTCAACTCTCCATCTTACATCAAACACATTCTAAACCTATATCTGTGTTTGCATTTTTAGTTTTGAGGCCAAAAAGTCCTTTTAACATCTCTACAAACTGTGCCAACTCTACTAGGCGTATATGAACTCTTTTGTTCTTACTTTTTTCATTGGGGTTTCACGTTCATATTCGGATGACCAATGATTTGGACTTTGGTTGGGTTAGTCAGCTCAAAGCTTCTATTCTCATCGCCGATTTAAAAACTGAGCACAATAACCATATGTTCTTCAACATTAAAAGAAGGCATATATGTTAAATTTTAGCAAAATTACTTTCTTTTGTTTCTTATGCAGTCTTTTCTTGTGAAATCGTAACAACTTACGTTTTTTCTTGCTGGTTGGGCAGGTTAGGAGTAAAGCAGAATTGTATAAAGCATTAGATGACTATAGTATAGGGGATAAAGTTGTCCTAAAGATCCAGAGGGGCAATGAGAGCTTGGAGCTGCCTATAATGCTAGAGGAAAAAGAGTCATGACAATGGGTAACGTTTACCTATTCCTGCAAGATAGCCATTCAGGTAAAATTCCATTTGATTTCTTGTAGCTTCCCAACTTGTACAACACTATTACCTACCCCAAAAACAAAACCAAAAAATAAAAATAAAAAAATTTGTGTAACACTGTTAGAAGAAAAGGAAAGAGTAAAACATAAAAAATAACTCTTGCCATGCTTTGAAGTTGGGGGCAAGATGTAGAAAAGGGTTTTACTAAGACGTTACTCAGATGTTTATAAGCATTGTGGTCCTGCTTCAGAATCTCTCTGAAAAAGTTTTTCCTAGTGAAGATGTCATCTGATACTTATTTCTAAGCCTTTGCCGTAGTCATTCATAGACATAATTATGTTCAGAGAAGGATTTTGTTATTGATCTGCATGTTAAGGCTGCCATATTAGTTTTCGGAGATTTTTATTTAAAAGTTTTCTGTAGCTATCCCATGTTATTCCCAATTGATTCCATATTCACAAGGGCAATATAAATATGTATAAGTTGGACGAGTCAGAAAGATTTGTGCAGTCGGAAATGTTATAGCACAGTGTTGCTTTTGTAGGACAATGACAATATGCTTGTAGCTGTATCCATTCAAAGAACGATTGGAATCATACGTCTTCTCCATGAAAACTGTTAATCATAGTCCATAAATTGAATTTG